TTTTTTTTTTTTTTTTTTTTTTTTTTTTTTTTGGACCATTTCTCTATGCGTGTCATCCTTGCGCAGGGGCCATGCTAATCTTCTCTGTATCGTTCCAATTTTAACGGATGTCTGGGAGGACAGTCCCCTTTCTTTTTGCTGAGCTTCAGGGTTTAATTTGGAAGAATTCCTTTAGATAAAAGCAGAGGGACGCTGGACCGGGTTTCCAGCTTGGACCAAGCTGGGTAATGGTCCCAGTTCATTCCGGGTTGTTTGTGAGGATTCCTGACCTCGTTGTTTTTCAATATTATGAGGAATGAAATGCCGAATTCTTTCAACAAAAAAAAAGAAGGAAATTCAGCAACTAAGTTCTGGACAAAATAGAGGTTTTTTACCTTTTTCCTCATTTCTGAATTTGTACAGTACTTGGGTGACCTGGGGCCATGTCCCCACTTCTCCAGGTTTTGTTTTCAAATTGCTTTCGTGTGCCGCAAGTGGGTCACGGCCCCTGAAGAGGTCATTTGGCCTCTCCTCTAAGGGCGATTTTCTGAAATGAGTGATCATAGACCAGACTCCCAGTCGTCCTATTATCCTTTTGTTTTCTTTTTCTCTTTTTTGCTTCGAGGTGATGGTGGTCCAAAAAATTTAAAAGAAAGAAAGAAAAAAACGGAATAGAGAAAAAAATATGTGGTCTTCTCATCTAGGATTCATCTATTCCCCAAAAATGGCCCTTTTGTCGACCTCTTCCGGTCACTCAAGTACAAATTGCGAAATGGGAAAGAAACAACCATTGAGCCCTCTCAAACTCATTGGGCTCCCTGAAGGACATGGAATATCTGGACGCACCTGTTGCGAGAAAGGCTTGTTTAAAAAGCATTCTCAGATGAGTCAGATCAAGCTAAACTACCAGTACACTGTGGGGTATTTTCACCTGCAGCACCCCTATACGAGGAACCCGCGGTTTTGACGCACCAGCCTTTCCTCAGCAGGTTCAATGCACAATAATAGGGATGCTGGATCAGCATTCCCTCAGCGGGTCCTATGCACAACAAAAGGGAAACTGGGCCGGGGTTCCAGCTGGTGCACGTTTCCACCAATGGATTGGAGTCATCTTCTTTTTGTTGAAAAACCATTGCAACAGTGTGCTAGGCACCACTAGCAGTGGTGATAGGAGCAGCCACTGCTACCACCCCAGGTCCGATGATTCCAATCTATTGGTGGGGAGCTGCACCTGCTTGAAAATGCCTGGCGTTCGGAGCACCCAGGTGACGTGGCTTGCTCAGATATGCTTCCACTGTGCGTTAGGAAGGGTAAAGGGGGCCTTGCTTAGCACTAGTGTCGACAACTGCGGTCTCATCCCGTCCCCTTGGCGGGGGGTTGGGACGCGCCGGCTTCCGGACCTGCGCCATCTTCCAACCCCCCCCTCTTTTCAAAATTTTGTTGTCTTGCAAACAGGCCAAAGAGGTCCCTTTTTGTATTTCCATGAATTAATGCGCATTGTTCGTAATCAGGGAGGCCCGGCCTTCTCATTACCTTCGTCATTTTTGGGCCGCTTTTTGGAATTCCTTTTTTTTTTTTTTTTTTTTTTTAGGGAAGGCACTGCGTTGCACAGCGTACCTGTACGGGGCCTTTCCGTACAGGCTGTACGAGTTTTTTTTGTACGCGGACCTGTACGCGGACTTGTACGTACGTACAAGTCCAGACAAGGCCCCGTACAGGTTTTTTAATTTCCGTTTTCACCGCTTTTCGGGGCCTTGCCAACCGCTTTGAGGCGCCCCAAGGTCGATTTTCGTGTGAGGGAAGGTCGGGCGGGGTTTTGCCTGGGCGGGGGGGGTGTGGGAGGCCCAGCCTCGATTCGAATTCGGATCGTGCTAGGAACCGCTGCATCCGTCGGACGCCCGTCATCGCCCGTCGCTGCCGTCTCCTGGAGCCGCCATCGCCCGTTGCTGCCGTCACCGTTGCTGCCGTCGCCGTTGCTGCCGTCGCCGTTGCTGCCGTCGCCGGGAGCTGCCATGCTGTCGCCGCCGCCGCGTGGAGGAGCCATCGCCATATCACCGCCCGACGGTAAGTGTGTGTGTGTGTGTGTGTGTGTGTGTGTGTGTGTGTGTGTGTGTGTGTGTGTGTGTGTGTGTG